TTAAAAAAGATGAAACCTTCAAACATAAGCACAAAAAGAAAAACAAAATTGAGGAAATCTCTTTTATTTTCTCAACGAAAAAAAGAAAATAAACTAAATAGAACTCATAAAAAAATCTGAGTAAGAAGGGGATTGACAAGTAGACAACTTTTCAACCCTGATATATCGTCATTCTGCAACAAAATTCTGTAAACTAAACGTGCAGTGCAGATAAAAGAGAGAAGAAGAAGCCAACAGATAACGCCCAAAGCACATGCAGTCTCTGATAATCTTAAGACGATTAAAAAAAGAAAAAACCCATCAAGGTCTGACCGGAAAAACAACACCTTTCAACAAACTAATTGCTTTAAACTCCAAAATAAAAACCCACGAGAGAATACAAACGTGTATATCTATTATCTACATAACAAACACAAATCGGACACAATATTTACAAAATTCAATCTCACAATCGACCGATCGAGCTAAAATAACAGAGAAATCGGAGGAAAAATAAAAGAAAATCTCACCTAACAGATGAAAAAATGCAAAGACCGATGGATCTAAACCAGGGGAGAAAATCTACGAAGAGGGGCTCAAAAAAACGAGAGAGAGAACCTATAATTCCCCTGGGAAGCTCTTTGTCTGACGAAAAAAAAAAAGAAAGAAAGAGAGAGAGAAAGAAAGGAGACCGAAGAGAAGCCAGTAGCAAACGGGAGGAAGCGAGAGGCCTAGCCTGAAGGATAAACGAGAATGTGAAAGGTAATGCAGGAAGAAAGAGAGATTAAAAGGGGGGAACAGTAACGGGTAATTTACGAAATAACCAGCGGGAGGCATAAAGAGCAGTTTCGTAAGAAAGAATTGAATAATTACAAAAACAGCAACAACTGGGCGAAACAGGAATCCTATCGGACCGCTTACCCGACATTGTTCCTACACGTGTCCATTCGGGTCGGGTCGTTTATTTATTTATTTATTTATTTGGACGAGGAGAAATTACTTTTGAATATTTTATACCGGAAAAGGAAATTATTTCACACATTGTAATTATCATAAAATTGTATAAAATTATTCCATGGGATTAGACTAATTTAGCTTACGAATTAGATGCATAATTCAAAAAACATGTACATAGAAATTGAGAATAACCATATTTATTAAAAAATCAAATTGAATCGACTAACCCAGACCAAACATAATAAATATAATGAATTTTAAATAAAAACCAACCAATTCCAATTAAAAATCATTATAATTGTTAATTTATTTACATTTACATTTACTTTGTAAATAATAATTTAAAAATTATTGATAATATATGGTAAAAAAAATAAATATTTTAAGTCATAACAATAAATTATTGAATCAAATTTCTAATTTTAATAAGATTTGTAGAATTATTTATTTAAAATTAAAAAGAAAAAAAAAAAAAAAAAAGGATGAAGCAGTAATAGACTCGTCTCCCAATGCGCACCGTAGGGAGACCCACCCACTCACCTTCACGCCAAGCACCTGCCCCAATCTTTTGCAATCACATGCATCATCACTCACCTCTTTTACTTCAACCCCACTTTCGTAGCATTGAGCTGTGCTTGAGTTGTGACCAAAATTAAATTCTAATTGATTAATTAGTAAAAACTTATATAATAAATAATTTTTTTAAAGAAATACACGTGGCAGTACAATCATTTGGTTGGGACCCAGGTGGATGGATGGACGGACTACATAGATTTTCTTTTCTTTTTGAGCCAAAAGATTTTAACGGACGCGGATGGGAGGGGGGGGAAATAACAATTAAAGGAAATTGGGAGCACTAATTAGCAAAATAATCACCGATTAAAGGAAAAAATAAGTAAATAAAATAAATACAAGG